CTTCTCTTTTCTCCTTCCCAAAAAAATTGTACTAAAAAATTAAATATTTTGATAAATGGAATACAAATTAAGGAAAAACAAAGTATTAAGTATTTGGGAGTTATTATTGATAGAAATCTTAAATGGAAAGATCATGTACATGAGCTTTCAAGAAAAATTGCTGGGAATATAGGTATTCTATCAAAATTGAGACATTTGTTGAAGAGAAGACCTTAATTCAATTGTACTATGCTATCATTTATCCTTTTCTTATTTATGCAGTGGCAGTTTGGGAAAATAACTACAAATTCATTATAGCTCCATTGATTATTTTGCAAAAAAAAGCTGTGCGAACAATTACTTTCTCCAAATTTGATGAACATACCACTCCTCTGTTCAAGAAACTAAATTTACTAAAATTTCAGGATATTGTCTATCTCAATACGACCTTGTTTTTATATAACTTTTACAATTCAAAACTTCCAAAAAAATTTAATGATTTCTTTAATCTAGTAGTGGAGCAGCACGCACAGCCACAATACTCGGTTAGCTTCTAAGGTAAATTATGCTCTACCTTTAGTTTGTACCAATTATGGAAAGTTCAATATACGGTTTATTGGAACTAAGATATGGAACAGTGTTGATGAATCACTAAAAAAATATTCCTATTTCAAAAAGAAACTAAAACTTCGATTAATTGATAAGTATTAATTTCAAATGAATTGTGTGATTCAAAGTTTGGTAATATTTATATTTATATATATTCTTATATGTATATATATTTGAATATTTTTTCTTATCACCTTACATCCGTGTGTACAACTGTATTTATATGAATCGTGTTAATTTTCATTTACTTTTCTTTATCTTATGTCAAATTATACATGTCAAACAGCATGTCAGTCATCTACAAGCTATGTTATTTATCCTGTAATATGGTTATTTGATCAATATTATTGTAACTAATTTTTTTTCCGTAGAAAGATGGAGTTATTATTTACTATTTATAAATAATGGCTCTATCTTCAATTAGTATAACTATATTATATTATCTTTATTATATTAAACATATTATATTATTCTAAGGTCACCTGTCTCGATTAGCCCATATTTGGTTATTATAGGTGGCCCTCACTCCAAATTGAAGAAATTGTAATATGGACTTGTAATAGTGTGTTGTAAGAACTTCAAGAGTGAAAATAAAATTATGTTGTTGTTGTTGTTGTTTGATAGCGTATGCATAGTTTATGTAAATCAGAGTCGGTGTTTCGGAGTTGAGACCAAAAACCATGACCAGCCGACAATTTAAAAAAGTATAATATAAAACAAATTCTGAAGAAACAAGACATCTTGAGATTGCAAAATATGAATCAAAACAAGACGAGAAGTAAACTGTAAATTTTCGACTTTATTTCAAAGTAATCCTCAGACAGAATGTTAATTCATCCGACAGAATGTTAATTCAAAGTCATCCTCAGACACTTGTTGTTGTTAATAACATGTAGGTATTTTGAAAGATAAAATTTATTTCATCTAATATGTTTCAAAAACATTTGAATGCAGGAGATCACAGTGGTTTTATGGGTAGAGGTAGGGGGACGCTTTATAGTTTCGATGAGACTTTGGTAGTTACTTGTTCCTGTAACATACCCCAGACTTTCTTGTTCAATTTTGTCAATTTTTTTATCGTCAATGTCCTCTATCAAATGAAAATTGCTTGGTATATTGGAATTTTTAGGGGGGGTGGATCAATTATCATTTGATAGGATGGGGCAGATTTTCTAAAGGGGTGAATCATTGTCCTATCTTAATGTGTCACAGTCTCTGGCGATGGTAGATTTTTTGGCTTGCAGATAAGTGAACCTTACAAAATGAAAGCATTATTAGCTTAAAATTTTTTATGAAGTTCTGTCAATTAGAAATCATAGTTGTATAGCTGTACAGTATTTCATTAAATAATCGACAAAGCTTTATAAATTATGTATCCAAATATTGCCAACGACAAGTGAAACATGGATACAACAGTTGCTTTTACATATGTCAAACCAGGGACACGAAAATACATGCAAACAGAGTTGACATGACAAAATAACTGGTTACTTCACGTTTAGAAATTTATTTCAATTTTAATGTTTCAATGTAAACTTGTATGATAGTAACTCAGTTGCAAAAGGTGCTATTATGAATTATGTAATTGCCCTGGAAATGACAAGCTCTCTTTGCTCAGTTCTACTCTACAATTTCCTGATTTTCTACTCTGTTTTTATAATAAAAAGCTACACTAGGCAATACCATTTTAGAATACAATAGGCATTTTCTGAGTGTTAGACAATTTAGAGTGGTGCGCAGCTCCCTGAATCCCCCAGAATATCTGCCTTTGATTTTGTAGGGAAATTGTCACCTCTCCTGCATATGTACCATCAAACAAAGGCTCGGAGGGATGCACACTTCTCTGCACCCATCCCTTTTATGCATTACTAATTGAAAGACATCAATCCTATGGGTACAGAATTAAGCTTTCGCAACCTAAGTTGCGCTCCTCACAAATTCTTATTTTGCATTTATATTTTTATAACAAATCGTGCATTGTAAACATTAGAGTAACTTTTAATTCGACGTTTTCCATAAATTTAGACATCACAGTCTGCAAAATGCATTTTTTCCCATTCTCAAAATGCACAATTAAACCAGCTGCAGTCCAGGCTCTAGCCTTAATGCAGTGGCGATTCTAGCGTAAGCCAAAATATATTACTGAGGCACATTGAGGAAGATATTCACATTTCTTAACCCCTTAGAGAAAAGTCCATTGGTAAAATTATATTCTTTAATAATTCAAAACCAATAGTGTTTTTATGAATGTTTGTATTTGAAATTGAGCAGCTATAATTTATTTTGACCAACGCTAGATCCGCTACTGGTTTATTATGCCATGAATCTAGTTTTGTTTGTTCTAAATCTGCATGATTTCAATTTTAATTATGATTAGAAAACAATGTACGTATTGATAACTTAACATTTTCCTGTCCACTTTTGTAAACTTTTCTTACACTTTTCCTTTCAATTTCCATTGTTGGGACTTTGTTACACTTCAATTTGTAGTTGTCCATTGTGGGGACTTTGTTACACTTCAATTTGTAGTTGTCCATTGTGGGGACTTTGTTACACTTCAATTTGTTGTTGTCCATTGTGGGGACTTTGTTACACTTCAATTTGTAGTTGTCCATTGTGGGGACTTTGTTACACTTCAATTTGTTGTTGTCCATTGTGGGGACTTTGTTACACTTCAATTTGTAGTTGTCAATTGTGGGGACTTTGTTACACTTCAATTTGTAGTTGTCCATTGTGGGGACTTTGTTACACTTCAATTTGTAGTTGTCCATTGTGGGACTTTGTTACACTTCAATTTGTAGTTGTCCATTGTGGGGACTTTTTTACACTTCAATTTGTAGTTGTCCATTGTTGGGACTTTGTTACACTTCATTTTGTAGTTTGCCATTGTGGGGACTTTGTTGCACTTCAATTTGAAGGTGTCATAATGAAGGACATAATAAAAGTGTCAGCTTAATTGAGGTTTCATCATTATACTTTCATTATTATTATCTATATGAGATTAAGTTTTGGATTTTACACAGTATCTGCTTAGTAAAGGGTCATTTGATACAGGAGGTTTGAATGTATATATTATATCACTTAAGAATTTGATTATACAATATTTTTTGTCAGATATTTCAAACACGAAGTCAGATTATTAAAGTTCATACAAAAAGACATGATTGATTATAGAATTTGCCCTCTTTGCCCACAAGTCAGTATTTGATTTCTTTTTTCCTACTATTTGCTTTGTGAACTATTTTAAGTTATATATTTTTTGTCTTATATAATATCAAAACATTTAAAGTTGTTGTGAAATATGAAGTGTTACATGTTTACCATAAAATTCATTTTATTTTATTAAAGAGCTTTGTTTTCTTTAGACTGGTGTGGCTATTCATTCCATGGATGCTTGCTTTGGTCTAACTCGTAAAAAGTTGGCAGGGAATAGTTTGCTATCCAAACCATGGCTGCCTTAAGTTTGCTGATCAAGATGAAGCAGATGATTTTGTTGATCATTATAACAAGTCTAACAACAAAGTAGGAGACGTAATTATTGCATCATGAAGGACTTTGAAGCCTATTCAAAAGTATTGTGGGAAGGGGAGGGGGGGGGTTGGGGTGAATAGTTTGAAAACAAGCTTTATATGCAGTCCATGAAAAAGCAATGGCAAATCCAGCACTTTTTTACTTTTACATTGCAAATATTTTTGTATTCAATCACTGGGAAAACAATAAATGGATTTGATTTTCTAAAGAAATTATTAACAACTTTGCTGACAAATTTGCCTTGTAAGAGTAAAAGATTGGGTAGGCTTCGCCCCTGAGAAAAGTGGGTCTATGCTTCATGCAGGTCCATGGGCCCTGATACAATCTTAGCTAAAAAATTGAGGAAGCACTTGCTGATCTTGGTGATTTGAGCAGCGATGAATTCATGCTTGGTTCAAAGCATTAACTGATGAGATTTAAAACCAAATTGCGGAATGAGTTGTTCAGCTTGAAGAAAAGTTTTGAACTTCCTCTTGGAGAAAATTTTCTTCTCCATGCTGAGATTGTCAACTTGACCAATGATGTCAACATTCCCAATGAATCTGAAAGCTCAACGTATGAGGAATCCGATACTGAAGAAGAAAACATCGAAGAGCTCTCAGAAGTGGACAGTGACATTGAATAGACGACATAGCTACTATTCGCAAACTAATAGCTACTTTTTATGTACTTACTTATTATGCAATTTAGTTGTTCATGTATCTAGTATAATAACTGATATCACGCAAACATTTGTGGTTTTGTGACGTCATGTTAGTGCACAGTCATTTTCTGTACAACACCGGAAGTTTTCACCTGTAGTTGAATTTTGAGAGAACTATGTTCTTTATTATTTATCAATGTCTTACAAGTAAGAGTTTATATGCAACATATATCCCAACCAATTAGCTCTGTCTACCCAACCCAATTCATCTAAAATTGTGAGCATTCATATCATCTATAAAATAGCCGAGACGTATCCAAAGCTTTGTCAGTTGATCAACGGGGTCTGGGGCGAGTTTTTGAAAACACCGAATTTCATGATTTGTCCATCTAAATCATCCAATTTGTTTTTTATCGTTATAAGCCTTCCTATGTTTCATATTTTGCTCGAGATTAACTCCAAACAGATGACTAACTTTACCGATGTTCAAGCTAATGAAACGATGCTGACGAGAGAGTGCTGTCTGGTTCGGCACCCTTGATGGCACTGCTGCTGTAAGAGGTGAATGAGAAATGAAACCGAATACGTGTTTGGATTGAAATAATATAAAACTCAAAATTATTAATCTACGTTACTGAGCACTATTGCCATTTCACAGAACACGTAAGCTATTTTACAGATCAAACACTCTTGTCATGTTGCACGCCTACAGTAATCATTGCACATATTATGTATCACGCATTCTTGCCCTGAGCTTCAAATATTCTGTAAGCAATACCAACCCTCCCTACAATCACATTCTGAAGTAACATTCTGTTGTTAAGAAAAGAACGTGATCGGCTTTTTTGGGGTTTTTTTTTATTATAAGATGCTACATACTCTGCTACCAATAAGGTCTATGCTACAAGGGTCCATGCACTAACTAAAAAAAATCATTATTTCATTTAAAACATAATTTGTTAAAAAAATTTAAAGCCGCAACTGTCAATTATTTGCTGTAACAAAACTTTGCTACTGGCTACTGCATACTTCTGTGTAACAATCACATACGCTCGATGATATTGGATTATGCGGTGCTGGTTATTTCACAAAAAGCACCGTAAAGTGAAAATGTCGACGCAGCGGAATTCTCGAAATGTTAAAAGTGGAATACATTTATGATAAATATGTTGCTTTACTTTGAGTGTTCGTTGGTACCGTAAATTAATTTATCAACGGCCAGGGCGTTTCATCAATTCTAGATGTTGTGGTGCAGCGAAATGAAAAGAGAGACGTGTATATTAGTTGTTTGTGTGAACAAATATAACAAAACTAAGACAAACTAAACTTCTTATAAGCCAAATTGTTAACCCACTATAATTAATAATGGACTCCGTCGATTTCGACGTATGAGGGTTCCACAAAGTGGAACATCCTGGTTACTTAAATTATAGTGAAGGCAGCTGACCAGACTACAATCACTCGTACCTTTCACGCAACTACAACGCTGATATCAGCGTGACACGTTTGTGACAAGGCTGCAACATTGCAGATGCAGATACAGTCCATCCGAGGACATAGTTTCCTCTACAAAATTTCCCTCACATGGCTTTGGTCAACCCAGGCTAGGTTTACAGACACATTGCCAGGTGTGCCACGAGCCGGGATTGAACCCGCGCCGTCTGGCTTACAGCTCACGCAATTAACCATTCAGCCACCCGCCCCGTCTCAGGTGGCGTTGCAAAGAGGAGTTTAATATGTATAAGGTGTTAATTTAATATAGGCCATTTATTAGATCTTTACACGTCACATATGCCCATATATCATCTGAGAAATACAATTTGGCTTATGCAAACCAATGTGACCTTTGGAAAAACTTGAGAGCATATCAGTGCAAGCAGGAGACCAAAGGTCTTAGGTTGCACGATTGCATCTGCTCGAGTTCTCACAAACAGCTTCAAGGTTTGCATAAGCCAGTGCAATGGTGCAAACATTAAAAACAGTTTTTACCTCTTGTATACAATGATACGAAACAATAATTCAAAACAGACAAATTTACATCGATATGCAAATTCTTTTTGGTTAATAGATTGATTTGATTGGTTGAGTTGAAATCGGTTTGCACAGGCTAATGCAAACACGGCTATAGACCAATCACCGAGCGGGTACTATTGTTTTTATCTATAAATGAACAATGGACATTACATATGCTCGCATACTCTTATGTACTGTACTGCCCGTCCATATTAAAGCCCATTTATGTCATTTGATTTGATGCAATGCCGAAAAAAGATGCATCAAGAAGAAAATATAAACCGTCTCACTTTCGAGAAGCTCGTGCAAATTGGTGAGAATGTCTCCACTTGTGGTGTTTTTTGTCAACCGGTAATCCGTTATCGCAGTCGCTTGTGTCCTTAATCGTTATATATGACTTTATTATAGGTTGTCAACTCTGTTTCATCAAGATTCCATTTGTCGCGTAAAATGCTCAGATGTTCTAAAAGTGTTGAGAAATAAATATAAGAGTATATCTGTTCGAGAATGTGGGTTCATTGTACGAAAGTGTTTTCCTATAGTGAAGCGAATTCATAGCAATCATGTCTACTTTTATTCTGGCATTAGCCACATCGACGCCATTGAATGTGTTAACCAATGTCATATGGAAAATGGTATGGTTTAAAATAGCTAGCGCAGTCCCTAATTAACATAAATTTCAGAGGCACACGATAAGAATAAGTTAAGGAAGGGCTTAAATTTTGGTGTTAATTGTATATAATATTGAGAACCTTTTTTTTGGTAGGGGAGGGGGGGATTTTCCATCTTGAGAAGAACTACCTTTGACATGGAGCAAACTTTATTTTCTTGTCTCATTTCATAGATTGCTCAACTGAGAATAAAATGCTATGTGGATTACCTGATTGCATGAATATCAATCGGTTGGAATTGCTACGTTCCTCATCAAAGAAGCCTACATATTCATTCGCAAATGAAGCCTACATATTCATTCCCAAATTAAGCCTACATATTCATTCCCAAATTAAGCTTACATATTCATTCCCAAATGGTAATTTTGATAGCATGGAGTTATGTTGGTTTAGATGAATGGCAGTTGCATTGAGGAGATCTGAGTTTGATGTCATAGAGGAAGCAAGAGCTATTCTTAGCTTACCATCTCATCCATGTTTTCCAATCTTAATTGGTATTTGTCGGGATGAAAAGCCATTCATTTTAATAACAAAAGTTTATGGTCATGTAGGAACTGGAGTGTACATGTCCTTGGAAGGATTGTGCTACACTCATGGAATCACTTTTGCCGAGTGGATATCTTTGTTAATTAAGATATGGGAAGGCATAGAACTGTTGCATTCTTGTGGATTTGCTCATAGAGGTCTTGGAGTTGAAAACATTGTTGTGAAAAAGAAAGAAAAGAAAAAAGTTTGGGTGCCAGTATTTCTGAATCTTAATGAAGTCAAAGCTTTATGTGGAAGTATTGACAACAACTTAAGTCAGCAAGACTGCTTAGACTTTGGCGTCTCGCTACATAAAGTAACTACTCTCCCTGCAATAAAAGAAACATGTGCATTACGCCAGCAAGAGAAATTAACTCAATTGTCCAAAGCTATTTCTTCTGGTTGCAATGCATTGTCAATAGCAAGACGTGTAAAACATATTGCACAAACATAAATATTTTTTACTAATGCAGAAGTATCTCAATTATTACAGTTATTTTAACAAATATGATATCTTATTAGCCTATCCAGTGAATTGTGCATGTCTTTGTGTAGGTGAAAGGTAAACCCCCCCCCCTCAAAAAAATTATTTTTGTATAAAATGTAGTTTTTACTTTTGGGCTTTAATCTTCTAAAATTTAATTATAGAATTAGACATTCTGCATGGCTTACATATGAATAGAAAAATATTACCTTTTAAAAAACCATATTCAATCCAACTAAAACTGAAAACTGAGTTGATTACAATGCACATTTTGCAGTGCTGACTGTTACCATCGTAAACAATGAATTTTTTTCATTGGTGTGAAATTGAAAACTATATATATCCCTGTTGTGATAAAATTTGAGTAACTTTCCATTCAAAAGACTTGTTCAATATGAAGGTTTGGGTATAATCAGTTAACCTATGAGTCTCAAAAATTACATTGCCATTGTCCTTAATAATATTTTTTCCAAAGATTGATTCCTTTTTTTTAATAAGATGGAAGGTATTGCCTGACTCATGATTTAGCCAACATCCTGTCAATTTACCTCTTGCGCTTATCTGCTGCAGAGATTGTAGAGATCCCGTATATGAAAAAAAAGCCAGAACTGACTTTCCTCATCATCACAGTACACAGGCAAAACAAAATGATTTGCCTGAGACACATATACATTCAATTTTTTTTTAACTCTGTCAAAGCTTATGGACATAACACTTTCCAGTGTGTTGATATTATTTCTTCGATTTCAGAAATGCTATGTGTCTCATTAATATCCAATACCTTCACATCTTCTTTTGATACTTTAAAGTCACATTTTCCGAATACATTACTAAGCAATGCCTTGCAGTCTTCACCAAAATCTTGCAAAGGTGCACCTTCTGACGTTTAAAGAATGAAGGAAATACTATCCTGGCAGTCCATGATTTTCTGTATTTCCTTTGAGCCATACTGTCGTGGCTTCTTTAGGCGAATGTCATCTGGTAGTCCTTCAACATGAAAACCATCAGAAAGATATGGAATGCAAGAACCAGTCACACATTTTGCTTCACCTTTAAGAAAAATGCTCACTGACAAGAACTAACAATCATAATGACTTAACAACATGACTGTAAAAAGAGTAATTTTTACAAAATTACTCACAGAAAAAAATTTTGTATCTTCCATAAACTTTTTATTAAAAAACAGAGAAGATTTCTTTATGCAAGTGTATCAAAAGGTAATATTACACTATCACTGTAAGGTAAACGCTACCATTCAGGAATATACAGGCAACCTTTGTACATAACTGTTATTAACAACATTATTTTGGATTCCCAAACTCCATTGTGTGAATGTTTCATCGTCTGGATCTGTCGCCTCCACGACATTGTTCTCACATTCACGCTGTTCTATATGCGCTCGCACGTTTTCGTCATTTGTCATCCATTTCGTTAACTTAAACCCGCCTTGAGACATTCTAAATTTCGCCTTTTCATATAAATCGATGCATTGTGTGCACTTTTGCCCCTGGAAACTAAGTCATCAACGTAAAATCCTTCATTCAATTTTTCA